AAGAACAAAAATTGGCATCCTTTCCCATTCATATGAAGATTGTAGTGTCTGTTTCACGACAGATACAAAATAAATGTTATTCTTTGTCACATGGTGGTCTAATAAAAATACTTGCTAGGACAGCTATATAAACTTGGAGACCGTCAGCCAGAAAGTTTGGCACATTCTGTGCTCTCCTTCTCCACTCACTTCTACTTGAAACCAATGGGGACCTGGGGTGTGGGACCCTCTGCTGATGAACACCCTTTTAGACAAAAGCTGTGAGGACAGCTGCAGCTCCTGTGGCAAACAGAAAATCAGCAGGTCACATCCCGAGCTATAGTGCACCTCAGCAAAGCGTCCTGCACCCTGGCAGTGGCCTGGGGGGCAGCCCTGTGGTGAAATCAGGTCTGCAGGGAGGAATGAGGCAATCCTGATACCTGGGACTAAGGAAAGCCCATTCCCCCTGTCTCTCTGACCTCACCAGATCCTTTGCAACTTGCCAATACTTAGTGGCAGATTTCATTTCACAAAAACCATGTGAGTTAATTCTGCTGTAAATATTTCTCCACTACATTAGAAAGATGTCATGAGCATTTGATAATATTCATGAATTGCATATCCATCCCCTGCTCCTACCTGATCATTAAAAACACAGTTTTGCACTTCACACCCTACTGGGTGCTGACATTGTTACAACCCGATGCCCTTTCTGCTCAAGGAGTATGGTAGCTCGAGATCTAACTAGCCTGTGCCACTGAAAATCTAATTATACTTATGCTTTTTCTTGCCAGTGCTGAGAGCAAGGTGGAACCTTTGGCAGGAATTTCATTTCCATAACTATCTGTGCACTGTGCTGCTTCTCCTGTGAGCCCACACAGTACCTGCTTGTCTGACGACTGTAATGAGAGAGAGACTCACTGAGGGGCCTTCCCTGCCTTCTGTGATCACTGCTGGTGAAATAAATAGCCTTGTATATGGCAAGCTCACTTTCTGCTTGTTTGTGGATATAAACATAGTTAGGGTTCTCTTGCAGACAGGCAAGAAAATTTGTAGTGCTAGAAGATAACTTCTCTAGTGTCAGAGCTGACAGAGCAGGAAAAGAGAGAATGCTTCTAGAATGCTTCTATATCTGTAAGATAAAGTATCTCTTACAGATATAGTTTAAAGTGTGGGATTCCTTAGCATTATTTATAAGGAAAGGGTCGGACTTACAGAGAGAATGATGTGAAGAGCACATGTCTGGGAAGACTTCTAGATGCTCATTCTAACACACATGACAGTACTGTGAATAAAAGTGCAGTATGACATTTGATATTTCTCAGTTTCCTTGACCATTATGGGTGAGGTGGGGGGAGGAGGGAAAAAGGATGACAACACAGGTTGCTGAATTTTCTTGAAACGAGCTGTTTGCATTAAAAGGCCTGATAGTCAAAAAGACTGTGTGACTTAAAAAAATGTTGTGTGTTCTCTCATCAACAATTATTGTAGGGTTTACCTGTTTGCTCTGATTCTTTCTGAGAGAAGCAAGGGCAACCTGAGAATAGGGCAGGCATGGAAGCAGACAGGCAGACAAATTTCCTAAAAACTCGAGTGGTTACAGCTTGCTCTGCAAGTGTAGCACAATGACAACCTATTTACACATTTAACAGATTCAGCCAACTTACCAATTACCAGGCAATGCCAAGAGCATACTCAGGGCTGCTTGGCAGCTGCTGTTTCAGCTGTCAATTGAAATCCATTAGTAAGTGCTGCCCTATACAAATGTGTGGCGAAAGATCAGCTGAAAGCAGCGTGGGATTTGACAGTCTTCTTAGGCCTTCCTCTTCCTTCTCAGGAGAATCTGCTTCACAGCTGAGGCAAGCAGGTCGGCCTCGGGTGGTGAAACTCCCAAGGTGAAACTGCAGAAACTCCCACAAGTTGGTTCTGCCCCAGCTAAGGACCCCACCTGGGTTGCTGCCAGCAGCTGTGTGTCCACCCAGGCTCACAGGGAGCTGGCTGTTCAGTAGAACTATATCAGGACACCATGAGCACAATAACCTTCCTGATATCCCCTTTCCCTAGCAAACCACTCCTCCACGCACTGACTTGCTAGGAAGAAAGATGAGGAGCTCTGAGTGACAGAGCCATCCTCACATCAGCTGGCATCTGCAGCTGGTGATATAAAGGTGTTGGTATCAGTTTTGAAGCAAGGACTGCCTTTTTTTTCTTTTTTTCTATGATTGGATTGCAGGCTCTCTTCTCCTCTTATCCTTGCTTTCCTGTTCTTTTTTACTTTTGATGCTTCTCCTCTCTTTCTTTTATCCAAACCAGCTTCTGCACCCAGAATAAAAATTACTGGAGGGCTTAACCTGGGGAATTATGTTTACTTTTCTTGCCTGTTCACGTAAGACTTATTCAGTTAAAGAAAACTTAGAGCTGCTGGAAAGAATTTAACACAGGGGATTATTTCCAGGTACCTTTGCTGAGCTGCCCTTCAGTGATGGAAAACAAAAGTATCTCATTTTACAGCTGCTAAAGTTCTATGCTAAGTCAAACATGCTACGCTAAGTCAAGGAACAGTTCTGAGTTTGCTGGTGTATGAAATGCATACACTCTGGCAAGAGAACTGCAGCTCTTGGGAAAAGCAGTAGCAGTCATAGCCCTTTGTACTGGGAAGCAATCTATTCCAGTGGGGTCTAATGTGCTCTCTCAGCACAAGCTCATGGTGATGCTGTCTCAGAGAAAAATAGACCCTCTCTATGCTTCTGCTCTTCAGCAAACAAGTAGGAAGTTTTATGTGGTTTGTTTTTTTTTTTTTTTGTTCTTCCTTTCTTGTTGTTTTTGTTTGCTTGGTTTAAGTTTGTTTTTTGTTTTTTTGTTGTTTTTTTTTTAATAACATGCTCTCTTGCATTTTGTTAGAACACTGATGTCAAACTCTTCTATTGCTGCAGGGGATAAGGGCTGAGGAAACAGTCTGCTATTTCTAAGCAGGCATAGTGAGTTCTTTCATGCTATTGTTGGTAGTTTTTATAAAACATTTCAGAAAATTTGACAGCTAATAATAAACCTTAAAAATCTCCTGTCTTTATAGAGACAGTATAAAATTTTCCTCCACTGTGGGCTGATCACCTTGTCACTATGCTGTGTACAGCCTGTCTTACAAAGCCACTCTTGGAATAAAAGGATTTCAAGTAATGCTAAAGCTCATGCCACAACCTGTTCTCAAACTTACCCACCCTAATTTTTAGAAATAGCTGTATTTTACAGTAGCAAATATTCTAGTTTCAGCAATGTGGCAATTGTTTTGTGTGCTGAGTGTACTCTGAAGCGCAGTGTGTCTCCTTTTGTGTTTAAGTCATTAATTCACATTTTTTCTTATTCTTGAAATCTAGTGATTAAATATGACCTCCCATTTCAATTTCACAAACTACTTTTGAAGTGTTTCTTTGAGTTTCTGGAATTGTTTGGTCAGAAGCACTGTATAATACATTTCAAAGAGCTGGGAAAAGAAACAGAAGATGGGAAGATGTGCTTAAAATTAGGCCTGTTTTTGTTACCATAGCAATGTAATAACAAAGCAAAACTCTCCACAGATATTATTCCAAATACCTTACCCTTTCAGTTTCTCAAGGACATAGGAAGACCAACTACCATTCTTTTCCTTGTCAAATCCCAAAATGTGGGAATTAGGGAGTAGGAAAAATGCTCTTTTAGTGTTTCTTCTTTGTAGGTTTCTATTAGTAATTTAAAATATTTTATCACAGGTGACAGTTATATTCGTGTTTTGATTTAATTCCATAATTATAGCTGGCATAAACATGAAAAATTGTATTGCAATTAAGTAAGAGACAATAGAACCATGAAAGGAAACTGATCATATCTCAGCTACAAATTACAGGGAACTGGGTAATGATTGCAGGCTATGTGCAATGCAGGTAGATCAGTCAGAAAGAAATTCAATGAAACTTTGAAGTGCCAGCAAGGTCTACCACTTCAAACAAAACAGGACATCAGACACATCAGTGAAAACCTGATTATTCACCAAAGCCAGGGTCAAAAGGCAATGATCAGACAGAAGGTTAGGGAGAGACTGACAGTCTGGGAGACTGCCTAAATGGGAACAGAATGTCAAGCAAGGCTTGCTGTTGTTCCAGCTCAGATGGCTGGAACAGTAGACCTGTCTTGCCATAGAGTTAGAGACAAGATGTTGATGTGGTTCAGCTCACTGGCTCTACAGCACAGGTCAGACTGGGCTCCAAAAGAGTATTCCACTTGGAATTACTTGCTCTCAGATCCCTGTCTTTAGTAAAGTTATGTATTGGTGAAAAGAGATGGTTAGAAATGGAGCTACTTGGAGTCTATGGTTCTGTCACAGAAATACCTGCAGGATAACAGCCCTGCCATGATTCAAAGCCTTTGGCTGAATTTCAGAGCACCTTTTATTAGCTCAGCCTTTGTTTTCTGATTTGGTTTAGATGAGAATGCATCGTGCTAGTGAGTCAGCTTATTGTAATTAAAGCACCTGTAAGGTTGTAATTGCTTATCTCTGTGTTGAGCTGCTGTTCTCCAGTTACAAATGATTACTGAGTTGTCATCTGTACAGCCATTTGGGTTCTTTTACTATGCTTAAAATTGGTCCTTTGCCTTGATGGACAAATGTCAGTTTTCAGATCTTACAGCTCATTATTTCAGCTGACCCCATATAAACTAATAATCAACTAGCTCTCTGCAGCTGAGTCATCTTTAACTTTTCCTAATTCCCAGCAACCAGACATCAAAATGCATACTTCAAAATCTCATGATAGAAATTGCTGTCTGTCTGACTCCAGTGGTGAAGTTGGATTTGCCATACATTTCCTTTGCTTTTTCTTTTACCACATGCTGGTCCAATTAAACAATTGAGGTTGTAATGCTTTCAAAATTTGATTTTGGGTTTTGACACTGTATTTGTGCCAATTTAGGCTCTGTATGTGTATTACGACTGTGATGGTACTGAATCCACTGAACTGAATCTCTTGTATTGATTCTTTTTTTTACAGTGCATTTGAAAAGGATTTCTATCATCATTGAGACATGTGATGCAAAGGGAAGGACATTCAAACAGGTGAAGTTCATGTCCCACAGAGCTTGTGATCTAAATTTGTGGTAGGAAAGCTCTATTCCTGTTTCCTTTCAGAAAATGTGACAACAATGGTTTCCCAGGGACTGCTGTAGCTGATATATAAATTTTTCTTACCATTGGTCAGTCAGGGCTCTCTGTTGTTCCTTTATATCTACACCAGTACAGAAAAGACTATAAAACTGCAGTTTAAAAAGTGGTTTTGTTCTGTGTTTCATATACCATTTATTTAACTTAAAAAAAAATCAATCAACCAACCAAACCCAAACAACAACAAAACAAAACAACCAAACAAACAAATGAAACCAGACAACAATGCACAAATGCATATCTTCCTGGAAAAATCTCTACCAAGGGGGAAAATCAATATAGCCCAGCAGAGTGACAATTTATCCAGCCACAATGTTCTCAGTGCTCTCATCACTGCACTAGAGTTCCGGAGAGATGTGAGCATTGTAGTGCAGAATCCTGACCTCTTTTGAACTCATGTATGTGCTGCAAGTCTGCAACAGAAAACTAGGATCAGATAAAATTTGTAAAACATCATAAAGACAACACAAGTTTTCATTGCTCAGGGGATGGCAACATATTTTTTTTCTTTGGGGAAATAAAGAGAATGTTTATATGTGAGACAGAATATTTTGTTATTTAGTAAAAAGAAATTAAATCCATTAATAATATGAAGTTTGGATTTTCAATTTTGCCAGTCTAGTGTTCAGACAGCACCTGTTCCTACCTGACTGTCATAACCAAAAATAATTAGGAGTAGGAGTAGCAAACAATGTGTATGCAAATGATTTTTGATTCTCTACACAATTTTTAGCCTTTAAGATATACCAGCTGTATATTTCAAATCATTTTTAATAACCATGTTACTTGGGCAGGAGATAGAGAAGCAAGAGGAACCTACTACTTCCCTCTTCTCCTCTGCCTTGAAGAAAAAACTTTACAAAATCTGAGGCTTCTAAGCATTGCACAGGTGCTTCAACTTTTTAAGCCATCTTCAACCTACAATGTACAGAAAGAGAGAAGTCCTTTTGCTGATTAACTAATTTTTTATTTCTTTACTCAGATACTGATAGTGAAGAAATGTATCAGCAACCTGAGCAAGACAGCCTGAAAGTAATAACATGCCTATTGAAATCCTCAAGTTATATTTAGACTCTGTACATAAAAAAAAATATATCCAATAGAAATAAATATTTTAAAAGTGTTTCCTTTCTTTATGTCATCCATCTATTAAACTGACACTTTTCCTACTTTGAGGGAAATATTAATAGCACTGACTTCTGCCAGAGAAACAGAAAATGACAAATTTGTTCTTGATGCTTCATGGTTAAAAAAAGAGACCAATAAAAAGTCTCCGTGTAGACTGTTACAAGATGAGTTGATCTTATAATTATTATTATTATGCTTAAAAATTAGAGCTGGTGTTAGGTACTGAAATGAATGTTGTTCTTGCAAGTTTATCAACTAGATAATGAATCACTACTAAAACTATGAAGATGCCATCTTCACTTTTAAAAGAATAAAGGAATTAAGCGGTTTTTTTTAAAGAAAGGAATTTTTAGTAGTATTTTTAATTGTTATTTAGTAAATGACAGTAAAAATCCTGAGTTTTAGTCATAAGACCCAGTAAAAAGACAATGCGTGGTTTCAGAGCTGCACAAAGATCACTGCTGGATGTTCAGTGCAGCAGCACCCTCTATGTCTGACAACTTCTAAATGCATCCCTCGCTCCAAGGTGCACCATGCCAGGTGACAGTGGCATTTCTCGTCATCTGTGGGCCTCTCAATCTCACCTTAATAGCGCACGAAGATTAAAAGAAAATTATGTACTTAAGAGTAATTAAAGACATAAAGAACAGATGAAAAACGAGCAGGAGTTCAGCACAACTCTTTGCATGCTATCCTTTAGAATAAACCCCCTATTTTGCTGGCAAAGGAACTGAGACGATTGCAATTCATGCTGACTTTAGTAAAGGATTTGGTGTTGTATGTCATGAAAAGTTACTAATTTACAGAAAATAGAAAGTAGTGCAGCACTTGGAAAAAGGAGACACAAGAGTGGGTTTTCCTGAAATAAAAATAAAATTCTGGAAGACAGTTATTTGAGGAATTAACTGTGAAACGCAATTTGCAAAACAGAAGACTCAAGGCAAATGTGGTTCTAGGCTATGAGAGACCTACTGTTTCTGCAAAGATAAAGAGTATTGCTAAATTGCTAAAATCTTCCCTGACATATAATATGCAATAATGGTCACTTATCTTTCTTAAAGTAACAGTGCAAAATCAGTCTGAAACACTGAAATAAAATGTATAAAGGAAAAAGAGGAAAAATATCTGACTTCTGTTTTAAGAGAGGAACAAAAGTATCCTTGTTGTCTCAGGTTTTGTTTTTTGTTTTTTTGGGTTTTTTTATTTCTTAATAAGAATCTTCAAAGTTTGCTGTCACTTGAATGTGGGGAAATCAAATTTTTTTTTGTTCTCTCTTAGTGAAGTTAGTGTTTCACTTACTCTGTCATGATTTTGGTGAGGAGAGTAACAAGTAAACCTCTTGGCCATAAAAAGGTCAGAGAAGGTATGGAAGTTTTTAATTCTTATTTTTGGCCCACTGATTTTCTTACAGGTAATCGATTAGCCCTTCAAATAGAACAGCTGGATCTGTTGACAGTGTTTTCTTCCCTCCTGACACCTTTACCATAAGTGGAGTTTTGATTGGAGAGTGAAGGCTTCCTCTTCTGCAAAAACATTTTGGTTACAGCGCCCCTCTGTGAGTGAGCAATGAAGTGGCTGCACATTTTATTTTTTTATTGTCTCCAAAACAGATGTATTTGCTCTTGGACTGAAGTAGCAAAAGCTGTCAGAAAGGTTTTTTCATTTTATTCAGAGCTGGTTGTTGATGCTGTCAGTGGCTCTACGGCTGTAGAATTGCTCCATTCCCTGGAGGACAGAAATACAGAAGTTTCAAAAATCTGGCTATTGTTGAGAAGAACTACTGGCATATAATGTGGTGAGGGACTTTGGTAACGACATTTGTTTGCCTATTCAATATACTTACAGGTAACTTTCCCAAAGTTCATTAATTCTTTTATTATTTCTGTACTACTTGAATATTTTTTACTGCTTTTAAAAGATGCTTTCATCTGGAATATGCATTCAGAATCCAACCTTCAAAGCTTTCATGAAAGCTGGCATTCGTAGTCATGCTCTAAGTTCGTGCTGCCAGCTGTATCAGTCCTTTTAAGAGCATTTTCAGGGAAAGTTCACAAGGTGGTGCTGTATGATTTTCCACATCAGAGTTTGGACAACTACTCCATGACACTTTGAATTTCAGACCAGTTTCTGCCTCCAAGGCTGTTTGCTGCCTGTCTGGGTTTCCTGTTTTTTTATTAGGGTTTTTTAAAGATTTTAATCTTAGAGCAGAAAATGTGGAGAATTGTTTGTTAGTACTGATCTACAAGGAAAGGAGTCAACTCTTTGCTAACTTGTGGTGTATAAGAAAAATTAAATCAGATGGTGTTTGAGATACACCCAGAAAACTGCATTTTCTCCTACCTAGTAAGGCTTCCAAAAACAAGCTTAGTAATTGCTTATAAGTGATACTTTGAAGAAAAACAATCATTGTATTAAATGACTGCATAATAAAAAGCCACAAATGAGCCTTGCAGATTTTCATGGCTCTAAGGTTGAATTTTTGCAAGGAATTTGGAAGATTTGATTACTTGACTCACAGACCAAGTAGTGACCAAAAGACCAAAATATTTCCTTCTCTGAACACATTCATATTTTGAGAAATCTTTCCCTTCCTTAGTTAACTTTTTACTGTTTCATTCCATGGATTTCTTTCCAGTTAATTTCAGTCCACCTTAGGCATTTTTTTAATTTTCTTACAACTGCCTCTGTTACCGCTAGCTCATGTGATTTGCTATGTGTTGATATCGTCTTCAAAAGAAGGTAATTTTACTGTTATGAATCAAGTAGTCATCTTGCTCACTATAAAAGGTCATACAAGCTTTCATATGCATATGACATTAAAATATATTTAAAATTATTTATAGTTATTGATGAATTAATATTTATATTAATTTGGAAATAACTATAAATCATTATAAATATAGTTATTTTGCATCTTACATCATGTATTGCACTTCAATTTTATAAGGCTATAGTTAAAGTAGCTGAAAAACAGGATGGTGAATTTTAAAGTAGGAGTAAGCAGACAAAGGTGTTGAGTGTCCTGTGTTTACTACAGCAGCAGTAGCTGAAAAAATGTCCTTTCAGCCTTGAAATATTGTACAGTACACTCCTGGAGAGGTGCAAACAGAACTTATGCTTGAGAGTTCTGCTTTCCAACAGAATAAATAAACCAGTTTGGTTTAAATTGCATCTTCTTTTCAAACATCTTCTGTATGCAAAGGTTTTTGGTGTCCCGACCCAGATACGCAGAATTTTGTATTTGGTCTTGTTAAACCTCATGAGATTCCTGTGGGCCCACTTCTCAAGCTTGTCCAGCTCCCTCTGGATGGCATCCTGTCCCTTAGGTGTACCAACAGCACCACTCACCTTGGTGTCACCTGCAACTTGCTGAAGATGCACTCGATCCCTTTGTCCATGCAGTTGAGGAGGATGTTAAACTGTACTGGTCCCAGTATGGACCCCTGAGGGACACCACTTGTCACTGACGTTCACCAGAACTCTGGGCCATTGACCACATACATCCCTCCTACCAATTTCTTATTCATCTAGCAGCCCACCCATCAAATCCATGTCTCTCCAATTTAGAGAGATGGCTGCTATGAGGGACTGTGTCAAAGGCTATGCAAAATCCACAAAAATTACTTTTGGAGCCTTTCCCATGTCGACTGATGTGATCACTCCATCACAGAAGGCCATAGAAATGTGCCTGCAGAGCTTTTATATTTCTAACTGGTTCCCCAACATGGTTGTACTTACCCTGACCTATGGCTCTTGTGCTTCTCTCTCTTATCATGAGGACAATTCTAGCATAGTCTGGGAAACCTTCCCAGCAAGCTTAATTCCAAGCACTCATTTTCTGAGAATTGGCATCCTCCAAAAATAGGGGGCAGAAAAAAACCTTTAGGCTTTCAAAGATTTTTTTAAGTATTATACTTATAATAGTTTTAAATGCATCTCAAAGACTTTGATTAAATTAAAAATTTAAATTAAAAAGGAGTTACAAAATAGCAAGTCATTATGGCATTGATTTAATCTTTCTTTCTCCACTATCTTTTATTTTTTAACCTTGTATATTATTTCTTGATAAAGCTTTTCTGAGAAGGGCATTTGTTCCCTCAGTCTACCCCAGAGATAGAGCTCAGCAAGGAAAACAAGACAAAACAAATAAAAAGCTGAAGGAAATTAATTTTTTTCCAGCTTTTATATGAAAAATTAAATGCCAATAAAACAATAAAAGCCCACTATTAAAAAGCCAGCTTAAATACTTTTAATTTTAGAATTCAGTAAAAATATTTATCTAAAAAGCAGCATACTATTGTTTTTATTTTACAACCTCGCCTCTTCATTATTCAAAGTAATTGCCCCCTTGCACAACTTAAGAAACTCTTTATTCTGTGATGAGTGTTAGCTGCCTGATTCTATTTTACTTTCAAGTCTATTTCAAAGCATATTTTACACAAAAGCCTTATGGCTACTGCTGTATTATGGAAAGTGGTTTAGCCACATGTTTTAGTGGGGTCTAGTAGGGAATATTTCTGGGTGCACACGTTGCATTTTTACTAGAAGCATGAAAAATCCTTCCCAATGTCACTTGGGTTTTACTTTTTGAAAAAACTACATTTGAAAGTGTAGCTACGTAATCCCAATGATTAGAATAAAAAGTGTTAAATTATTGTAGTTATAAGATCTTGTGGGCATAAAGGACTGTTTTAAAATGTAAAAATTTTCCTAAATGCCTGAGTACTATGAGCACCACAGCCAAATGTTCAGTTTTTCCATTGCAGAAACGCTTTATTTAGTAGTTGTTTCATATTGCTGGTATTACTGTTAAATCTGTATCATTCTAAAGCACAATTTTTAAATTTAGCTTCTGTTAATGTGCTATGAGAAGCTTTGACTTGTTGTTTTCAGCTGCTGGTAGGTGTATGTGCTGATTGAAGTGGTTTCATTCATACACCAAGGAGAA